TGGACCAACTCCCAGAATTCCCCAGCTGGGGAATTCTGGGAGTTGAAGTCCACATATCTTAAAGTCGCCAAGGCTGAGAAACACTGGATTAGATCATCTTTGAGTTCTCTTCCAACTGTGATTCTGTAAACTGGTTGAAACAATAGAGAACAGCACCTTCCTGATTTCATATAGACAACGGGGTGGGAATGTTCTCACAATCGCATGCCTTTGCAGTCACTGAGGATAAGAATCTGCCCACCACTGAAACTGAGATGGCGATGACTTCAGCCCTTCTTCTGTTGGAAAAAAGTAAGTTTGTATAGTCTTTGTAGCTAGAAACAAGGCAGGAATGCTAGGCAAATATTATAGCATGGATCAGAGCTAGACACAAGCGGCCTTTTGTAATTTTCCATCACATTTCTGAGCAAAAAAGTTAGGTGTGTGATTCATCCTGGAAAAGAAGTTCTCCAATCCTTTTTTCAACCCCATGGAAAGAATTCACTCATGATGTCTTCCCCTGGGACTGAATTAAAGGAAGGAAACCCAGCAGGGGAATCTATTGGGGTGGGGGGGTTAAAAAAGTCAAGATGGCGATTGAAGCCCTACCCTTTTTATATGGCCCCTGGCAGATGTAAAAAGGGGCGGGACTTCAATCACATGATCACAGCTGTCTTGACATTTTTGTTCCTCCCAGCAGAGTCCTGAGAGATGGTTATACAGTGAACAATAGGATTCCGCCACCTAGTAACTAAATAGGCTGACAGCATGAGATTTCAGTGAAATCCCCTTCTCTGAAAGAAATCTCAAAAGCGAATTCTCTTTCATCCGATGGAATGACAGCTGGTAGAAAACCACGCAGGAAAAGTCCTGGGATTAGCTTGGATGATATGAATAAGCCAGGGAAAGAACGCAGAGCGGGGCTTCTGGAATTCTTTCCAACCCCTTGATTAGCGGTGGCCCAAAGAGGCAGCCCTATTTTTTTTCTGTGTAACGAAGTAACATGCCGTGACTCTGTGTGTTGCATCTCTGTGTGTCTGTGTGTATGTATCCATTGGGAAGCACAGGGCGAACTGCCTGTGTTTTGCTCTGGATCATGAGACCAGAAAGGAGGCGGGAAGGAGGCTTTGAGAAGAACAGTGAGCCACATTCCCAGCTGTTGGCCAGGTGTTTCTCCCATAAGATCCTAAGCTGGGTCCACCTCGTTTTTGAACTCAGTTTTCCTTTTGCCAGCTTTTCCACCCATGCCAAATTTGATCCCATTCTGGTCTGTTTTGGGCGGGCTATCCTGTTGATGGACAGACAGATGTCCTGAATCCATTTATATCTTTTTTCCACCCGACATTCCACTGGCTTAGAAAGAGTAGATGTCAGGTCTTTGAGACAAGAAGCAGCAACCAGGAGTGCTAACACTACCTTTATTATAAGGTTACAGTAACAGATCTTGCAAGTGTGAAAGCACCTCTTCCCTCCTTTACTTCTGCTCTCCCAAAAACTAGGGAGGGTCCCTTCTGAGATGTTTCCTCCAGCCCTCTTCCTTCAGCCTCAGATTTCATTGATCAGACCATTGTCTAGGCTGTGGTTCTTCCTCCTGTCTCCCAAGGTCATTCCCACATGCCATTACAATAAAAAAGCATCAGAGGCAGGAATTGATAGAGACTTCTGCTTCCTGTGCCACTCATATCCCCCAAACTGCAACATGTTTAAAAATACAATGGGTTTGTATTAAAGCTTTGCAATGCTTTGGATTTAAATGGGACAAAGTGCTTTGGAACACATGGGAATTCAGTACAACACATTAAAGCAGCTATGTCTTTTCCTAGGCTTATACAGCTGATGTAGATTTTGCAGAGAAGCTTCTGCTACAGCTACATAGTCCTGGAAAGAGATGCAACTGCTTTACTGTGTCACAGACAGGTGCTGTGTTCATGCTCCATAGTGTTAACAAAGTATAACCTAAAACCTTAAGTAAAAACTAAAACCGCACACATAAAGCAGCAGCCGGAGTAAAAAGAAACCCAACAGTTACAAGTTAGCATAACCAAGACATGGGCTTAGTCCCACCTCCTGACCCCCAGGCCCGGAGACAAAACCAAGTTTTTAAGATCTTACAAAAGGCCAACAGGGTTGGGGCCAGTCTGATCTCCTGGGGGATGATGATCCAAAAACCAGGTGCCATCATGCAGTGATATAGCATGCTGGGAAGGTTGATGACGCCTGCTCTAGGTGGGTCACAAGTTCTTTTTTAAACCATGCCCCATTAGACTGACCCAGACTCAAGTGAGACAAAAGCACTGAACCCTGGACAGGTGGATTTCTTTATATCCTCCTATAAGGGTTGGGGAGAAGTTTTATTTTGTAAAAACAAACATATCAAAGTGATATGTGAGTGCTTCCTGTACTCTGTTCTATTACTGTTAGGTCTATACTATTACTAATAAGTCTATGCTATTTCTATGATAATTACTACTGTATTACTATGACAATTATTCTATACCATAGTAATGTATGGTATTATATCCTATAATAGTAATACCATATTCTATAGTATTACTATTCAGTTATATACTCTATTACTATTACCTACTACTCTGTTACCTATTACTCTATTATAATTACCTATATGCTACGCTCTATACCAGTGTTTCTCAACCTTGGCAGCTTTCAGATGTGTGGACGTGAACTCCCAGAATTCCCCAGTCAGCCTTGCTGGCTGGGGAATTCTGGGAGTTCAAGTCCACACATCTGAAAGCTGCCAAGGTTGAGAAACACAGCTCTATACTATTACTAGTATGCACCAACATTTCTTTCTTAAGCCTGTAAGTCCCCTCTTTCTGAGATTTCTTGTTCTTTTTCTCTTAACGGCCAGCATGTTAGAGCTCTTGCACCTTTTGTACATTGTGCTTTGTCTTGTTGGACTGCTATACTTCCCTTTCTTCTCTTTTGGACCATCCACTCCTTCTGAAGGAAAAACACCTTTTTTCATTGGCTGCGGTACTCTAGTTTGCTGGTGGCCGCAGAGCTCCAAAACACACGTCTCCTCCCATCTCCTCCCACAACTGTGTCAAGGTTGCAGCTTGATGGGCAACTCTGCCGTGCTGACACTGGGGAGAAGGCTAAAATGGGAGGGGAAGATAGAAGGCAACATAGGTGCCTTCAATTTTTCTAAGCAGCCTGTTCTTCCACAAGGTGACCTACACAAAGCTGACATTTGTGACCACCGAGGTGTTTCTGGAGTCTCAGATGAGTGATATTGGCACCTTTCTAAAAGCAAACTCAGAGCCAGTCCGGGTGGATCCTGGATGTGGTATTTATCGCAAAGTTCCAAATTAAATGCAACTCTGGAAATCGTCATGTGTAATGTCCGTTCAGCATCTTCTTCCTCCCACTCTGACCAGCAGGTGGCGGCATACGACTGGCGAATGGGAACAGCAGCTGCCAAGGTCGGGTGGAAGTCCTTTATGGGGACCTCTGGGGGACTGTTTGTGATGATGACTGGGATTACCCCAACGCACAGGTAGCATGCCGCCAAGTGGGCTGTGGCTCGGCCATTGGGGCTACTGTGCTGGGCTACTTTGGCTACGGCACTGGGCCCATCCTTCTGGACAACGTGGATTGCACTGGCACAGAGACTGATTTGGCCGACTGCTTTAACCTGGGATGGGGAGAGCATAATTGTGGGCATCACGAAGATGCTGGTGTCATCTGCAGAGGTGAGAGATGCAAGTGTCAAGATTCATCATGATTGACGCCTCCTATTAGCTGCTCCAGAAGTGAAATCTCAGAGTGTGTACAAGGCACATTTTATTCTTTGCTCACCTCCCTGCAAAATGTGTATGTATGTATATTTGTGTGTGTGTGTGTGTGTGTGTGTGTGTGTGTGTGTGTGTGTGTGTGTGTGTGTGTGTGTGTGTGTGTGTGTGTGTGTGTGTGTGTGTGTGTGTGTGTGTGTGTGTGTGTGTGTGTGTGTGTGTGTGTGTGTGTGTGTGTGTGTGTGTGTGTGTGTGTGTGTGTGTGTGTGTGTGTGTGTGTGTGTGTGTGTGTGTGTGTGTGTGTGTGTGTGTGTGTGTGTGTGTGAAGTGGATTGCAAACCCTGTTTCAGCTGTTGTCCCTGGAAAAATGTGGCTTATATTCTGCCTTTCATTTGCTGTTTGGGAAAATGTAAATGCTCAGACCAGAGAAGTTATGTGAAATTTTGAGACCATATTATGGGTGCTCCTACTTGCTAATTGCCAGAATGGTTTCTTGATTGCTATGGCCAATTACAAAACAGTCATTTACCAAAAGCAAACTGGTAAGGATGCTCCAGGCAACCCTTATAGCATCTCAGACTGTTTCCTGCTGCCTCAGTTTACCTTCAATTATTATTATTATCTTTTTCTGGATCATTGGGCTTCAGAAGAAAGCACTCAGCTGCAGCCATTCACTGTTTTTACTTTTGGGAAAAGGCTAGGGGGCTTGTGTAGAGACCAGAGGCAAATTTGCAAATCAGAGTAGTGCTGGAGTTTAGAGCTTTGCAGGGCCTGGTTCCAATTTATTGTTACTGTTGAATTAAAAAGTTAACAATAAAACCAGGCAAGTTGGGGAGTGTGATAGGTCCCAGAGGAGATATCTGCAGATGCATTGGACACCAGCCCTATGTAGGACTGGGCTAAAAGATGCCCTTAAAAGCAAAGAAACGTACTGTATCTCGAGATTGACTAATTGAACGTGCATTTGTGGTGTTCCTCTTTGATAGTCAGTGCCCCTAAGCTTTTTCCTGGATCCCAGGTGCAGAAGAACCAGGAGCTTCCTTGCAAGAAGATACTTTTGCGACCACAACTTCAACCACTGTTCGTCCCAAAGATGGTACGTAGACCGCAGCTGCTCTTAGCACATGATGTTCCTCTTAGCTTAAGGAGAAAAATGATAGTGTATAAAATTATACATGTTTTCTAGCGAAAGTACCCAGGGGGAGAAAACGTTCTACACCGGGCGAGGAGACCATCCAGAGAAGTGAATGGTGGGATATTCTAGACCAGCAAAAGGAAGAACTTTTTTTTTTTTTTACACAGCAGTGCTTATTATTCAACTATGGAAATGTTTAGTGGGGGGAGAGTGGCTGCCTGCACTGAACAGGTATAATCTGGTTGCTGAATTAAGGTATTTTGGGGGTTCTCCCAATATGCTGAATCACAGATTGATCCAATGGGTTGTGTTTGTACAACAAGCTAAGCCATACACACATGTACCGACAAACGTTATAACTTATCCAAACACAGCATGTGGATATGGAGCTGATAGGTTCAGATGGACCTGGCTAAGGTTGCTGTGTGAATGCAGTGTTTATTTTTAACCTGACAATCAGGTTGCCTTCCAGGTTTAGCAGCCAAAAAATACTAGGAGAAAGGTGCTAGGGTGCTCATATCCTGCTTTTGGACTCCCCCAGGCCATGGTGGAAGGAGACTAAGTAGATCTTTGACTTGATCCATCACAGCTGTTTGATTCATCCCAATGTAGTTGAATTGCTTCCGGTTTAGGAGGCAACGTTGGGTCACTGCATACCGAGGTGGTTTTAGGTCATTTCACGGGGACCAGCACTATCCTAACAAGTATCAGAAACCTCTTTTTCTACCACTGCCTTTGCATGGTCTATTCAGACCCTTCTGGACCAGAAAGGAAAATTAATATGATGGTTTAGGGCAAGATAACTACATTCCCATTTCTTGCCCTGTTGCTTTAAGGCAATGCATTGGAGAGCTGCATCAAAGGTGTGTTTCTGAATTAACTCTGGGTACTCAAATTGAACATGATTTATTTCTAGATACTGAAAATGCAAGAACAAATATTAGCTTCCAATAAGGCCAGTGCATCTCTGCCTAAGGAGCGTTTGAACGATGCAAATATGGAAGAGGATCACCCACTTTAGTGGAAAGTGGTGCCTTCAAAGCTGTGACTTATTTAGAGCTGCACTGGATTACGTCCTTTTTGGAGTAACTCTGAGCATGTATAGGATTAAGGTCAAGATTGGGAGGAAACTCCCAGTTTTGTCCATTGTTATGACACCGTGTCTTTCGTTCCATCCTCCCCCAATGTTCAGGTTTTCTGAGGCTGGTCAATGGCAGCCACCGCTGTGAAGGCCGGGTGGAGATGTTCTACCTGTCCCAGTGGGGGACGGTGTGCGATGATGCTTGGGACCTCAAGGACGTGAAGGTGGTATGCCAGCAGCTCGGCTGTGGAAGTGCCTTGGCGGCCTTTGGAGAAGCCCAGTACGGTCAGGGCAAAGGATACATCTTCCTGGATAACCTCAAGTGCAAAGGAGATGAAACATCTCTCCTGCGTTGCTCTCATATCCGCTGGAATGTGCACAACTGTGACCACTCAGAAGATGCTGGTGCCCTCTGCCATCTGCTGTGATGCTGTGCTGGAAGGTACGGCTGGGAAAGTCTGTTTAGGAGCAACAAAGAAAGTAGTTATTTTCCTTTGTACTCGTCAAAGTTTGTTTCAAGTCATTCCCATCTTGCCATAATTACAAAAGAAATTATATCCAGATGAGAAATGAAGTGAAAGGTCTGGTGAATAAAATAATTTTAAAGTTAATTAGAGCCATTCATGGGGGAGAAGGATTTTATCTATATCTCGTAGTTGTGATCTCTAAATGGATATTTTTTGTTCAGAGATGTCTGCCTCCAAATACCAATTGTTAGAGGCCACTCTGGACAGTGGCTATTATCTCTGTGTTTTACTTTGGGCTTCCCAAAAGGATGCAGGCAGCCACTCAATGGGGCCGTTGGTCTGATCCAGCAAAGCAACTCTTTTTCATACCGGTTACTTGTGTTTGTGTAGAACAGTCTTCCCAAATCTGGCAGTCTCAAGATTTGCTGGACTACCACTTCCATAACCTCAAATTAGGATGGATGGGGATTATGGAAGTAGTCATCAAATAATTTTGGAGGGCATCAAGTCTGAGAAGGCCAGCACGCACTGTTCTTGGCATTTGCTAATTGGAACCATGATAATGAGCAATAGTGTTTCCATGTACAGAGTAAATGATTATAATGCTTGGATGACCCATGACTGAGTTAAGAAGGTTACTGTAGATGCAAAAGTGGTCTGGAGAATTCCTGATACTTTACTTATATTATTAGCCATGGGAGACAATGGCTGGGTTCCCATAATAATCAAAGGCATGCTGCAACTGATTGGCTTCCCATATCATACAAAACCTTAAACAACAGCTTTAGCAACCAGGGTAGCTGGATTCAGACATTGTTTCCAAGTCAAGCCAGACTTTTGAACCACAATTTGTTGAATAAACCATTGTGACAGGTAAGGAGCTATCGGTAAGCTATAATGGATAGGTTTAAATTTCACTAGGAGGTCTACAAGGGCATCAAAATCTGGAGGCTGCAGCGCGCCCATCATCTTGCAGATTTTGACACCCCCCCCGCTTCCCCTATGGATGTTGCTGCATCGCACATTCACATAAGCAAAGAACATTATGGCACATGAAGCAGGCCAAAAGCTCTGTCAGTCTCCTCCTCCTTTTTAAAACTCTGAGGGGAGTCAGAGCTTCATGGCATGCTTTGCATGGATGAATCTTAAAGCCCACCTCCCCATGAAGCAGCTCTGTGAAGTGCTGAGGTGCCCCCCTTTTAGCTGGGGCTGCTGCTGTGGTGGTAAAGTTCATCCAACAAAGCTTCTGGGCTTCATGAACTCATTTTCTTTAAGGCAGGAGAACCATGACTGTGGTAGATTGGCTTTATCTTGACTCTTCACAAAGCCCATTGCCTTCACTGTGCAAAGCACAAAGATGAGGTGGAGGGCATCCACTTTGCACGCCCACAGATTTAACCCACTAAGCCAGAATGGCTTATGGCTTAACAGGATGAATAAACACAGCCACATTAAAAAACAAAACAAAACTTTAAGTTGTTGCTTAAGTTGTTTCGGGATTAGATGCTGTCACAAATAAAGCTGGTTAAAGCTGTGTTTTGCTTTTTTTCAGGAGAAATTCATAGACTTCCATGTCCATACCAACTGTAAGAAACTGAACTTCCTCAGTACCCGTCCAAAGTCTTCATACTGGAATGGTGTCTTCTCATTGACTTGTATCCATGTGATCTCCTGCAAATATGTCTATGTACTTGGGCTTTGCAGCACTTCAGATTTGGTTCCAAAAAGTTGCTGCAGAGGTTACTGGAGTACAGATATAACATTTGCCTACAGCACTTTAAAGCACCCATGTCTTTTCCTGGAATCTCACGGCTCCCCCTTGTACCTACTATGTGGCCTTGGCAAAAGTTGTGGCTACTTTAAAGAGTCACAGACAAGTGCTACGTTCTCACTCCTGCTGCATATCCCAAAGCATCATTTTGGAGTTAAATCTGAAGCACTGCTCAGTCTCAGTGTGCAGTTAGTTTATGATCCAGATACAATATATTTTTCAGAGCAGGTCCCCACACTAGACACTTTGGACAGATCCAGGGCAGACCTCCACAAATCTTTTATCCTAGCATGGTGACATCTGCTATATGATGCATTCTCTAGTCTGTCATTTTGACATTGTTTTTTCTGAATGTAGGGTTTCTTCTTTTTATGTGTGCTGGTTTTTATGGTGGTTCCTCAGGACAAATGTGTCTTCTGCCTGCTTCTGGACAAAATGTGTTTCAGGTGTGCAATATTTAACTTTTTAGTAGGGATGATTTGTGCTCTAAGGATAGGCAGAGGGTCAGAGTGAGCTGGCATCTTGGGCTGGGAAAATAGCATATTCTTTGGACGCTCTGGAAGAGAATGCTGAGCGAAGCTGGAAGAGATGAGACAGCAAAGGCACTTAGAGCAGCAAAAGGTTAATCGCTTGTCTTTCCAGGTGGGGGAGGGAAATGTGGCCAAAAGCAGTTGATTTTTTTTAAAACACTTTGGATGTGCAGGATTGAAGGATCAAATGTATGTATAAGGACGTTACCTAGTTTTTAAACTTTGCTACAGTACACAAAGTGGCCAAATACACCCAGAAACCAAAATCAAGAGTTGCAATGAGTGTGTGCCTTATACTCACATTTTAAACAGTGATTTCAGCCTTTCTCATGTTGCTACTGAGCAGTGTTTTTGCCCTGGGGGGGGGGAGGGAAGTACTGTTGTGCTCTGGAGACCCTTTTGTTTGTAAGGCATCACATCTCCCCTTTGTCACCAGCTGCCTAATGAAATTCATATGCCATTATGCAAGGACCCAGCTCCCTTGAGAGGTCCATAATGGGGGGAATGGGGGGAGGAAAGAGAAGAAGAGGGCGACCAGCAGCAAGGCGGATGGACTTGATTACACCCATGACGGATGCACCATTGGGACACCTGAAGGGCTAGGCTGGGGACAGATCATCCTGGGCAAGGTCTATCTGGCTTAATGCTGCATAATCAATCAATAATCAAAACAGACATTACTCCAAAATCCAACTCAGATTGTGATGAAGTATCACAGTGCATAGACTTTCCAGCCAAGTTATACAATCAGCAGAAATAAGGCAGGTTAAGTTGCTGAGTTCAATGTTCTCTCTGCATTATTAAAGAAACAACAACAACTTTTCCAAGATGGGCAAGTGTAGTTTTCGGTTGAAAGTGATTATGCTTTCTCCTCTGTTTGAACTCCTTGCAAGGGTAGGGAATGTTGCTAAACCAAGTTGACCGGGACAGATGCTGGGATTAGAGTTCAACTTCTAGCATCTTGCATTTTAAGGGTTGTCCAGTCCAGCTTGGGTTTCAGGAGGAGGAGCTAAGAAAGGAGAGCAGAAAAACCTGCGTTGCTCTGGAGAACTCATTGAGCTAGCAGACACACAGGTTGCTTGGCTACTTGTTACTTAGGTATTTTTTCTATTTATATTAGAGCAATAATTTACAGATTTGCAACTATACTGAAGCATAAGTACCTGCAGGTTTAATCTTCTGCAACTTTGAATAGATGGACTCTTAACCCCCCCCCCCGCCAAAAAAAGGATAAGGTTTTATCAGGACTGGACAACATGTGAACATGTGGACCTCCATGTATTATTGAAGTACAACTCCCAGCAACCCTCTCTATTAGCCATCCAGGCCAGGGCTGATGGTAGTTGGAGTTTAGGAAAATCTGGAGTTTCAATGCATTCTGTGCTATGCTTAAATTTTTTTTTCTTCTCCTTTTTATTAATTGAAAGAATTCACAAAAGGATAAGGTTTTATCAGGACTGGACAACATGTGAACATGTGGACCTCCATGTATTATTGAAGTACAACTCCCAGCAACCCTCTCTATTAGCCATCCAGGCCAGGGCTGATGGTAGTTGGAGTTTAGGAAAATCTGGAGTTTCAATGCATTCTGTGCTATGCTTAAATTTTTTTTTCTTCTCCTTTTTATTAATTGAAAGAATTCACTACAGTGGTCCCAAAGGTAGTTTGCCTTCAAAACAGAGGTTCTGGGAAAGGTTTTTATCAGGATGAGAAGGCGTTGTAGCTGAACAAAAATATTTTTCATGTTAATTATTATCATGACAGGTGGTAGCACCCAGCTGCCTTTGAGTAAGCTTGAAAAAGTTAAGGAGGGTTAAACCAAGTTAGTATGGGGATAAAAGGCCACTTGGACGCTCCAGTGCTGTAGACTAGTCTTAAGCAAAAAAGCAAACAGACAAATAAATAAAATCCCAGAAGAAAGCAACTGTAAGTCACTTTAGTGTTATTGCCAAGAAAATGATACAGATGTGTCTAGTTAGTGACTAACAGTCCAGCTCAACTCAAGGGAGATGCTACTTTTTATTTATTTATTACTGACTTATTTCTTTTTGTTAAAAAGAGGGACTTCATATATTCTCTTCTATTGGGACAAATCTTGTTTTTCTTCAGAAGGAAGCTCCTTTGGGGCTACTGAGGCTTGCTCACAGCTAACTGTGGATATAGGACTGAGTCATTCGATTCCCCTGACATTTAGTGCTAGGTACCAGCTTGTGTATAAAAGGTGTTCCCATTGTATGTAGAACTTAAAATTACTTTTCAATGACCTAAACAAAGTCAGTGATGAATAGAATTTGACTAGCGTTAAGGAAGGCAAATCTGCAATCTGGTGGGTGGTAGAAATGGGGAAAAGAAGGGAACAGAATATATAGAGTGGTTCAGTGCAGGTTTCTACGCAAAAAAAAAAAAAAAAATGATTCAACATCCAACCATGTAATATATGTCATTTGGCAGGGGGGATGCTTGAAAGGTGCTTTTATATAATACAGTGTTCATATTCCACATTGTCATTTTTTTTTTATTACCAGTTTTTGTTTTGAATAAATAAAGGCCCTTGAAAAGGCGGTGTGATTCAGCAGTATGTATTTGCCACTGCACAGGCAGGACTATAATGACTAGGACATTGTTCACTTTTATAGTCATTCAGGTAGTTTCAGAGCAGGAGGCTGAAATCTGATCCGTGTTATATCTGGATTGCTGTCCTTTTCTGGCAGAGCCAAGTAGAACGTCCACTGCTAGAATTGCTGGGATCCTTGGGGGACTTTTCCTCGTTTTTTTAGCGTCACCATGTTGCACTGGTAATGAAGTGCAAGAAAAGGAGTGCACTTCATAGATTTGGGGACTCATTCCCAGAATATGTTGGGGAAGAAGTGGCTGGTGGGCTTGTGACAACAGGACTTTTATCCATTTCTCTTTTTAACCCTCCTATATATTCCAATTGCTTTTCCCACTTTTGTTAATACCTAAAAATCAGAAGGTAAAGACCAACAAATCATCCTTTGGAGTGGCCACGGTAGGACCCATTCCCTCTGGATGTAAGTGTCCAGATTTAAAGTGTGTTCAGTTTCCAGTAGCAAAATGACCCCTATATTCAAATACATCTGATTTTATTTGAAGACGGTCGCCTTTCTTCCTCCTCGGCATTTTACAGGTGTTTGGTTTTAATAGTTTGGTTTTATATTTGTTAAAAACAGAGGACCATCATCTCACTGTTTTCTTGGAGAAGAGGATACAATCATATCATCTGCAACGATGACACTCAATTTGCACGTCTGCAGGATACTCCCATAAGACTAGATCCAAATGCAGCCACAGGTTTAAACAGCAGCCACAGTTTTTTTTCTTTTACAAATGTTAAAATGTACTTGTTTCTCTCTCGTCTCCAGGGGATCTTGGAAAATGGCCAGCTATTTTGTAAATTGGCTTCCTCCATCTAGGGCCATACCAGAATGCCCTACGAAAACATCTGGAAAGTGCCATACTGAGGCAGCTCTTGTAAAACTAGAGATTGTGAATTTTGTTTTTCCTATTAGTCCCGTGGCTACATTTGCTTTTCTTTTTAGGCTCATCCCAAGGGATATCCCATGTCCTTGGGTAACAGGTATGGTTGAACAGGGTGATCAGCTGTCACAGAGTGATCTATCGGTCCTTAGGCCTCTTGAAACTGCCAAATGAGAAGGTGAAGGAGGTGGGCATGTCTACAGAGGAAGGGTCAAAAAAGTCAAGATGGCCAAAGCATCCTTACAGTTGAAGCCCCATTCCTTTTTAATGTGTGTCTGTCAGACTTACCAGGTGGACCAGACAGGAAACATGACCAGATGAGCTAATTCTACTTTATTGTAAGGCTACATTCACAGAATCTTGCAAGTCTGAAAGTACAATTCTTCCCCTTTACAATTCTGTCTTTTTTACACCCTGAGAAATTAGGAAGGGTCTCTTCTGAGCCTCTTGCCCTGCCCACTCTACAGCTGTGGGCTATGCCCTCTCTTATCTGACCGTTCCCTGGGCAGTGTCTCTGGGCCCCGTTTCCAAGGTCTTTCCCACATTCCAGTACAGTGTCCTGGACAACCTGTAAGGAGGTCTTAACAGCTTTGAAGGGAGGCATAAATATTTTTACACATTTATCTAGCCAATTTGCTGTATTTCCATGACCTGGATCAGCCTTCCCCATCAGGTGTCCTCCTCCAACTGTGTAGGGACTTCCATCTCTATCATACCCGGCTAATATCTGGAAAACGCTGTAACCTTGAGGGAAAGTGAGGTGTTCGTTCATAAATGTTGACCACACAGGAAAGCTGTGTTCACAAAGCACGTTGAGCTAAA